AGGACCTTGAACTTGTCAAGCAGGCTCAGTGGGCTACATCCCGGGCCACACAAGGTTTCTTCCCCTCCCACATACAGACACTCTGCAGTACTGAGGACTGAACCTAGGGTCTTCAAGCTGAGCTATATCCCCAGCCCTTTTAAAAAATTTTATTTACCTATTTTTAACAGTGACAAGTTTATCTGAAAAGTGCAGGGTAGGGCTGGGGATTTAGCTCAGTGGTTCCGCTGTTTGCCTTGCAAGTGCAAGGTTCCAAGTTCAATTCCCAGAACCAAAGGGAAAAGAAAAGTGCAGGGTAAATGGGTATGGGAGAAACCAGGTCTGCTGAGTAAACTTGGGCCGAACAAGGAGAAAAAGAGGGTAAAAGCAAAGGTGAAAGTGCACACTGCTTCTGAGAAGCATGGCACAGAGATTACCGAGCAAATTCACACACAATAGCCTACTTTTGAGGGTTGTTGTTTGTTTGTTTGTTTGTTTTGAGACAGGGTCTCACTATGTAATTGAGTCTGACCCGGAACTCACTATGTAGTCCAGGCTGGTCTTGAATGTGCAATGATCCTCCTGCCTCAGCCTCCTGTTTTGAGGGCTTTTTGAGACAAGTTCTCACTATGTAGTTCATTTGAAATCACTGAATTGCCCAGGCCGGGCTTGAGTTTTCTTTTCTCACTATGCAGTTCAGGGTAGCCTCGAACTCACTATGGAGCCTAGACTGGCCTTGAACTCATGGTGATCCTCCTGTCTCAGCCTCCCAAGCGCTGAGATCACAGGCGTGTACCACTACACCTGGCTTTTCAACCCTCCTGCCTCTGCCTCCCAGAGACTAGGATTATGGGCACATACCTCTACGCCTGAGTTCATACCCAATTTCTTTTCGGAGGATTCCAGCACGCCTGGTCTGGCACTGGGCCCAGCCCTGGGCAGCCTACGGGCACTGATTGGCAGGGAAGAAGTCCAGGCTGGACCAGGAGCCAACAGAAAGCCTGCCCCGCCCTCCATCCACAGTCAGACACAGGCAACCCGGCCAGTCATTACTGACACTAATGATAACAGCAAACATTTATTAGGCACTCACTGTTGTCAGACACTATGCTAAGTGACTTCCATGCATGACCTCATTTAGTAAGTCTAAAGCAACATTTCTCAAATGTCTCTAAACTTCATCTACAGCCAGAGAGATATATCTTTGGGTTTGGGTTTTTTGGTTTTTTTTGGTACTGGGAATTGAACCTAGGTCCTTGTGCTTGCGAGGCAGGCAGTGGAACCACTGAGCTAAATCCCCGGCCCCTGGGTTTGGTTTTGTTTCAGTTTTGTTTGTTGTTGTTGTTTTGTTTGTTTGTTGTTTTTTGACAGGATGTCAATATGTAGCCCAGGCTGGCTTCAAACTCAGCAATTTTCCCGCCTCAGCCTCCCAAGTGCTGGGATTACAGGCATCCACCACCACGCCCAGAAGAAATATATCTTTTTTGCAATTTACTGTACACTCATTCTACATTAATAAATTATTTTCACAAATTAATACTTTCCCTTGACCTCATGTTTTATTTTCTATTAAATTAATTTATCTATTTTGTTGCTTGAGACAGGGTCTTGCTATGTATGTAGTTCAGGCTGGCCTTCAACTGTGTAGCCCAGACTGGTCTCAAGCTTGCAGCAATCCTCCTGCCTCAGCCTCCTGAGAGACTAGGTTTACAGGCGTGAGCCACCTCACCCAGCATATATTTTCTTTTTTAGAGAGGGTCCCACTATGTAACCCAGGCTGGCTTCAAGCTTCCAATCCTCCTGTCTTGGATTATTTAAAAAATATATATATGATTCCTCCTTTCTTTTGCAGAATGGAGATCAAGCTGAGGGCCTGTGGATGTTATGGGAGCACTCACCCGGAGTCACGTCCCCAGCCAAATGTATATGATGTATTCAAGGCTGGCCTGGGGCCAGGGATTGAGCTCAGTGATTCCACTGCCAGCCTCGCAAGTTCAAGGTCCTGAGTTCAATTCCCGGTACCAAAATAAAATAAAATTTAAATTTAAAAATAAACTAAGCCAAAAAGACACAACTGAAAAAACAAATGTGGCCAAGAGCTACAGGTAGAGGGTGTTGCTTACAAAGGGTCACAAAAGAAATATCTGGGAAGATGGAAACCATGTATATCTTGACACATTGTGGCGGTAGGACTAGGAACACAGCCAGTGATATAGTCCAGGCCTAGCATTGTGTGTGAGGCCCTGGGTTTGAATGTCAGCACTAACAAATTAATTAATTAATTAATACCCATTGTTTCTTTTTTGTTTTGTTTTGTTTTGTTTTTTGAGACAGGGTCTCACTATGTAGTTGAGACTGACCTGGAACTCACTATGTACCCTAGGCTGGTCTCGAACTCACAGAGATCCTCCTGCCTCAGCCTCCTGAGTGCTGGGATGACAAGCGTGCGCCACCAAGTCCGGCTATTAACACCCATTGTGATGATAAATGATTGTGCACTTTATCACCACTCATCAAATCATTTACCTACAAAGAGTGAATCTGTGTGTAAATCTAGCAGCTAGCGTGATGTGTGGTGTGGGCGACAGTGGTTATGGAGCTTGCAGTAGCCCTGGGTTTGATCCACAATCTGCGGTTTGCTCATGACCCACAGTCTGAAAAGCCCTGGGAGAGGCGGGGGTGCATCTGAGGGCAGAGTGCTTGGCCGTCTGGTGGGAGGCCCTGGGTTCCTTCTCTTGCACCAAAACCAAAATCAAAACAACCCACTGGGAGAAGGGGGTGCTGAACAAATGAATAGGTCCGGCGGAGGAAAGAGGCTGAACTGGCCCAGACTTTCAGAGCAAGGAGATCGCAGGTGAGAGCTGCAGCATGGGCCCAGGAGGAGGCCGAGCAAGCGGAGGCCTGCACAAGCCTTCTTTCGCTCAGGTCCGTCTGACAGCCGCTCCCGCCAGCCCAGTGCAGTGCACACAGAGGCGACGCTCCCACCGGTGAGGGGATCTGGTTTGGGTGAGATGCAGAGGAATGGAAACGGCAGGCTGGACCGGAGTCCAGGGTGCTGGGGGAGGGAAAGTCACAGTCAGAGAGGGGAGGGAAATGACACTGAGAAACTGAAAAGAGAAAGGGAACAGAAAGCCACCAGCAGGATGGAACGGGGTGCAGGGGCTGCCCGGGCATGTCCGTGCCAGGTGCCCGGGGCTTCCTCCTTTCCACGGGTCCGCGGCCAGATTCATGGGGAGCGTGGCCCCCACGTGTCCCGCCGTCAGTGGGCCCGTTAGTGAGAACCTGTCACAGGTGTGCCATTATGACCGCAGTCAGGGTCAGTCTCCCTGTCTTCTGTGATCTGTCTCTCACAGTTTCAGTGTTTTTGGTGGGGAGCACATGGGGTGCTTGTGTGTGTCCTTATGGGAGTGCCCCGGGGTCGGGCTCTGGGTCCCGGTGTGTCCACATGTGCCCGCCAGGAAGTTTTTTTTGATACGGGGATCGAACTCGGGACATTGTGCTTGCAAGGCAGGCCCCTGAGCTGAATCCTCGGCCCCAAGGAGTCCCCTCTTCTTGACAAGCCTGGCACTGTGTCCCCGGACCAGCCCTTGGGTTGGTGGGAGTGTGCCCAGTGGAGATGCGTGTAAGCGCAGTCTGTGGGCTGGGTGTGCTCAGCAGTGTGGGCGTTTGTGCAACTACGAGTGTCCCTATCCTTGCGACAGTCTGTGTGTCCAGGGGTCCTGTGAGTCCGTCCGTGTGTTTGCATCTGGTGTGTGTGCGCGCCCGGGCCCCTGTCCAGGGTGTGTGTCCGTGGGCCGGTGGCCATGTCAGCACGTGACTTTGTGTACCCCGGAGCGCCAGCCGGCCAGTGAGCCTGCGTGCTGTCCCAGTGGGTGTCTGTGGGTCCCAGTCAGTGTGTCAGTGTGTCAGTGTGTCCGGCTGTCCTCTGGCTCGCCTCCACGCTCCCGCTCCCGGCCAGGCCAGGCCTTGCCCCACCCCTGGCTGCAGGGAAACCCCCGCGCGGAGGTAGGGGGCGCGCCGCGCGCCTGCAAGTCCCGA